GAGATGTAAGGATGTGACAATGCAAAACCAGTCCAGAAAAGCTCTACGCAGTACCTTTTTTTAAACTGAAAATATATTATTGTTTTCGAAACAGTGGGACAAGGCAAAAATATGAAATAATGGTAGGCCGTAAAAATGATATGAAAATAAATAAAACATAGCTGAATTTATCAAAAAGTCAAAACTATACAAGATCGAAATGAATTCATTCAGAGCGCATATAGTGATAATTATTAGGCCTAGGCCATAAAAAGTGCCAAACCTTTTTCTGGACAGCTAAACCTCATGCAGCTGATAAACAATTAATTACAAATTAGGTCAATTTCTTACTTGTCTTTCAACAAGTTCAGTACTTCATATTGTCGTACGTTTAAAATCAAAATACTAAGCCATTACATTGATTATAATTATTCTTTAACCACTTGAAATTCTTAGGCTTTGATAGATCTATCTATTGATCGTCCATTGCCGTCCGTACAGTATCAATAATATAGAGGCCAAAGAAGCCTGCGGGAACTTCTCAATAATCCCCTAGAATTTCCCCCATGGCTAAAAATAAACATAATCTGGCCCAAAGATCTTTGCCTGGCCTGCGCGACGATAATCCAAGGCAGGGATATAAAATGTCATCCCCAACCGCCGTTTGTTCCACTTGAATTGATACCGACTTCTCCAACGACAAATCCCACAGTAGAAGAGGTGAGTTGTTTAAAGAAGTGCGCATGTTGTACTTTCATTTTGTTTTCTTTTATATTTCTATCTTCCTATAGTGTGTGATGTTGCTGTTTTTTGTTGTTGTTGTTGTTTTTTTGTTGTGGGTGCAGATTTTTTAAATTCAATTATTTTTTTTTAATTTTCATAATCTCATCATAAGACTTACCTAACTGTCTGCTATTACTTCAAGTTATTATTTTTGTTTGGCTGGTTTGGAAAATAAGGACAGCAGTTCATATCAGCGTTTTTGTACTTTTTGGTTTTATTTTCTTTTTAACCGCAATTAAATGTGTCAACTTGTGTCAGCGACAATCGATCCGAAGTTAGACAACAGTGGTGGGTGGTTGGCGGGTGCTCTGGTGTGGATATTGCTCCTTCTTTCCTATAAAAAATCTATCGTCTCTATCTCCCCCCTCCCCA